GGAGGCTCAACCTCAAGTGGTGGCACATCTAGGACATCCCTCTTAGCAGTAGCTGTAGCTTCTGCTGCTGCAGATGCCTTAGCTGCAGCTTCTTGGGCCTCCTTTGCTGCCCTAGCTGCTGCTTCTCTAGCCACTACTGCCCTTGTCCTAGGTGTGTTTGCTCCACTTGGTGTATGGTTTGTCTTGTTCTTCTTCCTCCCAGGTCTAGGTGTTGACTTCTTGGTTCTTTTCCTATAATGCTAGTGTTAGGTATCATGATTTGAAGGCAACAATAATAGAAATCAGTTAATGTGCAAATTACCTTTTCTTTGTGCCAATCAGATGACACCTCTAGCTTCCACTCATGTGGCCATACTCACCATAGTTAGGGCATTCACATGTCTTGTTGCTTTGCCACTTCTCTCACCTGGAGCAAGATGCCTTTTCTTCTTTTGCCTTCCTAGTGGTCTAGTCTTCTTCATAACTGGTGGGAACAACTTGAAGCCCTTGTCCACCTCTGGCCATTGTCCTCTATCTGTTATGCTGGGAATGATCCCACGATATGCAGCCTAGAACTTCTCAACTAAGTAGTACTTGTCCACATACTGATCCATATTGGGTTGCCTCAGGGTTGTGATGACAGCCAATGCATGTGAGCAAGGCTTTCCAGTAAGCTGCCACTCTCTACATGTGCAGACATGTTGTGGCAGGTAGACAACATGCCTTCTAACCTCTTCATCCTTGTAAATCTCAGTCACTTCTGCTTCCTCTGGGTGCCAATCAATTGGCTCAGCTACATCAGCAGCCACAGAGGAAGGAGGAGTATTGCAGGTATCACCAGTGCCCTCTACATTTTCAAGGGCAGCATTAGAAGCTCTGCCACCTTCATTACCGTGAATTTCACTGCCTTCACTAGTTGTCACACCAGAAACACACCATCTACCAGAACTAGCATTAACAGACTCTCCATGTTTGCTGACCACATCAACTACAAGAAAGCAACCCTGTCAGCCCATCTGTCCTTTATCAGCTGCTGAAAATGCTCATCCCTTTTGACTTTCCATTCAGAACCACTGCCATGTGTCAAGAACCCAGACTGCTAGAGTTTGTGATGGACCCCAAATGATCTTTGTGGCCATCTCCTCATGAAATTTCTCCAGACTATACTGCAAGTTTCTATCCACCCACAGTTCATGCTCTTGATCAGCCATTTCTACTAGCCCATACTGCCCATCGACGACAAACTTAGGAACCTTAACAACTAATCTAAACACGTTGCTAGGATCAATCCTGACAGGATGCAGCCACAAAAAATAAATCAATGAGTTAGACAACATCCTACACGGCACGGTTCACACACAACATCTACCATTTCGAATGCAATGAGATGGAGTGATTGATCTTACCAAACGGGATAGCCGGTCCAATCCATTGTTTGAGGAACTAGGGAATAGATCACCGGCCTAAGTAGAGATAGTCAAAACCGAATCAAATCGACAAACCCTAACCCTAATCCCCAAATCAAGGCAACAATGCAGACCGCGGACAGGGTTCCAAGCAGACACATACCTTTACACCATCGCTAAAGTGCTCGGGGAGGACATGTCTCGCGGTGGGGGGGGGCGGCGTTGTGCGTGGCGGCGGCGGTGTGGCGGGCGTTGCGCGTGGACCAGAGAAAGGAGAAAGGAGAGCGGATGGGAGAGAGTGGAGTGGGCCATGGGGTAATATAGACGCCAGGGGCAGGGCGGTCATTTTACATCGGCCTGCTGACTCGGATCCGAGAAGGACAGCGGACCTGACGTGCCAGGCGAGCAAAAGTGGCAAATGTGTATCATTTTTCTCTCTCCAATGCTAAAAACGTAGCGCCAAACCTAAAACTGCTATCTCAGGAGTCGCCATCGGTAATAATGGTAAAAAGTTAAATATCCCCCGAGCTGCGAGGGTTGTCGGAGTCGAAGTTCCGGGTTCCATGTTTTCGGTGTGGCTTGATGAATTTTTTTTCGAGGGGATTTTGGCTGGGCTGATACTGCTGATGATACTGGGCTGGATCACCTTTGGGCCAAATGTCGTTCCTTAGGTGGGCCGATTAAAATGTACCTTTATTAATTTTTGCAAAAAAAAACTTCAACCAGTATGAATGATATTCACACTGCATCTGGGCCTAGCCGTGCTCTTTTCACCGTTGCTGTGGACGACGTCGACCCGGACGCGCGGTCAATTGCTCCTTGTTTAGTTTCTAAGTAGAGTTTACTCCCTGTCACATCGAATGTTTGACACATGTATGTAGTATTAAATATAGATTATAAAAATAACTAATTGCATAGATTATGATTAATGTGTGAGATGAATTTTTAAGCCTAATTAGTCCATGATTTGACAATATGGTGCTACAGTAACTGTGTGCTGATGACGAATTAATTAGGCTTAATAAATTTGTCTCGCGGATTACTGAGAACTTTTGTAATTTATTTTATGATTACTATCCAAACACTTCTATGTGACACCTCGATATTACACCTAATATGACATTTCTAAACTTTACTCCCTAAATTTTGGAGATATTTAGTTCAGTCTCCTAAACTTTAGTCACTGTGCGTGCTTAGACACGTAGTATTAAATTTAGCCCACCATCCATCAGGTCGCCGTGCGCATGCCCGCCAAGAAGAGGCTCTGACACTGACACGCATCGTCCAGTCACGCCAAATATTGATCCTCTTCCCTCCTCACCGGTAACTCTGGGCATAATTAACCGAAGACCGAACCGAAAAGACCGAGACCGAGACCGAAAAGACCGAGACCGAAAAGTTCGGTCATGAGTTCGGTCCTGGCTCCCAACTAACCGAAGTAACCGATAGAAGTTCGGTCATATGTGTCGGTTAACCGAAGTGACCGAACTGACCGTAGTTCTGTAGACTTCGTTCGTAATGTCATTATGTGTGATTATGATTTGTGAGAACTGAGAAAGTTGTGTGCTAGAACTTGTCATAATAATGTGTGGTTTGTTTTATATATTGTGTTGTTATTTTTTTGCCTTCAAATAGCAAGCATGCTGTTGAAAATTGCTATAGATTCTGCTATTGTTTGTGGCTGCTACTCAGGTCCGGTTAGTTCGGTCGTGACCGAGACCGAACCGAACTAACCGAGACCGAACTTCCTCGGTCTTCGTTTTTTGCAAAGACCGATCGGTCCCAGGTTTCTGATGACCGAACTGACCGAATGACCGAGGAACCGAACCGATCGGTTCGGTCTGACCGAATGCCCAGGGTGACTCACCGGCACAGCGACAATACCAAGGCGGTGTTTAGTTCTCCCAAACTTTTAACTTTCGCACTATATAAATAGAAGATTTTCCGTCACATTAAATTTACGGTATATATATGGAGTACTAAATATAGATAAAATCAAAAACTAATTACACAGTTTGGTTGAACTTTACGAGATGAATCTTTTAAGCCTAATTAGTCAATGTTTGGACAATAATTCACAAATACAAACGAAATTACTATAGTGGTTGCCGTCACATCAAACACTGTACAGATGCCGATTCTGGCTGAACTAAACAAGGCCCAAGGTGTTGTTTAGTTTCCCCAAACTCCCAACTTTGGTACTATGTAAAAAGAAGATTTCCCGTCACATCAAACTTGCAGTACATATATGGAGTACTAAATGTAGATGAAATCAAAAACTAATTGCACAGTTTGGTTGAACTTTGCGAGACGAATCTTTTGAGCCTAATTAGTCAATGTTTGGACAATAATTCACAAACACAAATGAAATTGCTACAGTGTTTGTCGTCACATTAAACACTGTGCAAATGTCGATTCCGGCCGAACTAAATAAGGCCCAAATAGATACTACGTCTGTCCCAAATTATTTATTGTTTTTAGTTTTAGTGCCACAAATTTAACTCTATTAGTAGAAAATAGGTGTAATATTTATATCTTTAAATAAATTTATTAAAAAACTAAATTCAAATATTTTTTCAATGATATCAATTATTTACCATAAGTATTAATATTTTTACATACATGATGGTGTTTAAATCCAGGAAGAAAAGTTTAGGGATATCACATCAGGTGCCATATCGAAGTGTTATATGAGAGTGTTCGGATCGTAATAATAAAACAAATTAATTCACGAGACGAATTTATTAAACCTAATTAATCTATCATTAGCATATATTTACTGTAGCACCACATTATCAAGTCATGAGCTAACTAGGCTTAAAAAATTCATCTCGCACAGTAGTCGTAATCTGTACCATTAGTTATTTTATAGTTTATATTTAATAATCCATGTATATGTCAAACATCCGATGTGATATGGAGTAAACTTTAGAGGAGAAACTAAATAAGATCTATATTTTATCAAAATTGTTTCTCGAAAAACAAAAAGGACATATATTTTAGGGACGGAGGCAGCAGTTGAAAAAAGGAAATCAAGGGGCCCCGCTCATCAGTGGGTCGTAGGCAACGCACGCGGTTGGTCCAGCGGGCGAGGAGATCCCGACTTGCGCCCAAAGAAGATGCAGGATCCAGGATTTTAACCGGAGTTTTCTATTCCACGAGCTTATCCACATATATCGTCACTGACATTGTGCCCCACATACGGGTCCCGCCAAGACACGCGAGCTGAACAGCACCCCAGCGGATTCGAAATTCACGGGCAGGCCCCTGGACCCGGGGAAAGCGAGCGGTTGTTCAGCCACTGACGTGCGGGGCCCCGCGCGTCAAGTCCCCAGCCGCACCGCCTAGAGAGCTAGAAGTATCTCTTCGCGTGGAAGCAAGCGAGGCGTGATAAAGAGGGGCTCCGGTGTCCCGGCGTTGCCAGCATCGTCACTCGCCACGCACCACCACCACTGCTGCGGCTCACGGCTACGCAGCCCGCCCTCCCGACCCCCGTCCCCTCCTCTCCCTGCTACTAGCACCTAGAGTTTCGCCCGAATCGATCGCCGACTGACTCCGCTAGGGTTCGGCCCGATCGCCGCTTGTCCTCCCGGCTCCCGCGGGGGCCCCGCCGCGATGTCTGACCGGAGCTCGTCGTCTGGGCCGATGTTTTTCCCCTTTGGCCCGCAGGCCGAGGCGTGGGACGTCACCTTCAAGGTGAGGCATCCGACCGAAAAACTTGTGTTTCCGTACTTTGTTCCTTTGTGATGATATGTGGACGGTACTCGGTAGTGGCGCGAGGCGCGGGAAACCGCCTTGTAGCTTGTAGGGTGATCGATTTGGGGAGGCCGGGGTTTGGGGTTTTTCTGTGTTGAATCGTCAATCGGCCGTAGGAGTAGTGCGGATTCGGGGTTTCATCGACGGAAAGAGGGGTTTTCCGTTCTCTTGGTGTGGTTATAGGATGGTTCTAGGGTTTTACGACTTGGTTTTGCGATTGGTTTGTTTGTGTAGGTTCTTTTCGTTGGTGAACACGTATTTTGGTCTTTATGGTTTATCCGTGAAGATGATGGTGGTGTGAGACCATGATGTAGATTGGGTCTTTTTCTGTCGCATTATTATAGTAAAAAGGGTTAAAGTCCAATTTACACCCTCCAACTTGCAGCAAAGTTCGGATTTCAACCTCGAACTTCAAAACCGGACAACTTTGGCCCTCCAACTCTCGAAAAAGGTCAGCTTTCAACCTTCTAGGTTGAACGGTAACTTTTGATATTTTCCTTAAATTTTATATTATTTTTTCGAGCATCTTAACGTTCTCAAATGAAAAAACTCAAAACTACAAAGTTGTAGATCTCATCGAGGTCTACAATTTACATATAAAAATTATCTTCATCCAACATCGTATTGAAGAGTTTTCTATTTTTTTGAAATTTGAGTCTCATCACGCGATAAAATATGGTGCTGAAATTTTATATTATTTTTTTGAGCATCTTAAGATCCTCAAATAATAAAAAAACTCAAAACTACAATTTTATAGATCTCGATGAGGTCTACAATTTACATAAAAAAATTATCTTCAATACGACATCGTATTGAAGATTTTCTTTTTTTGAAATTTGAGTCTCATAGATAGCGACAAAATTGTTACAACGTGATGAGAGTAGTTTTGACCTTTTTTCATTTGAGGAATAAGATGCTGAAAAAATAATATAAAATTTCAAGCGATGATAAAAATATCAAAAGTTACTGTTCACCCGCAAAACCGCCCAGAAGGTTGAAAGTTGAACTTTTTCGAGAGTTGGAGGGCCAAAGTTGTCCGGTTTTGAAGTTCGAGGTTGAAATCCGAACTTTGCTGCAAGTTGGAGGGTGTAAATTGGACTTAACCCTAGTAAAAATTGTGAGGATGCACCTATATCTAACTTTTAGCGCTTAGGGTATTGTCCTTACGAAATTTACTCCTACTTGGTACGATGTGATCTTTGAATCAGACTGTTGTAGATGAGATCCTCTCTTTGGGCTTTTAAAATAGCAAGGAAAAGAAATCTTTTGGGCAAGTTAAAGTCGTGTATTATTCAGAACGAGATCTGTTTACCTTCTGATAAGATTGATGTTTTGGTCCAGAATATGGTTGTGTAGATCTTCCAATTTATAGTTTGTTTGCAGTATATGCTTGTGTAGTTTCTATCTGTGCGTTTTGTGGACTGAAGCACAGAAATGATATATTTTCAAAAGGTTTTAGGCAGAAGGGGAACCTAAGGTTTGTTATTACCAAGTTACAGTTTGTAGCACTTGCTTCTTTTCTTCTGTTTGAGTATATGAGATTCCGGTCATGTAATTGTTTTGAAAATAATAAGGTTGCATAGCATTGCACACCTCTTCCCAGCCCTATGCATGCTAGTTGAACGCTATTGGTCAATATATTTGCTGGTGTCTCGTGTGATTGTGTTGACTATTGTGCGTCATATGTCATATTAAGTTTCAATGATCTTCAGTTAGACAAATTTATTTCGTTTGTATGATTCCACCATTTAAGGGCTTGTTTGGAACTTTGGATGCACCTGTATTTACCTCAATCCACATGTGCTGAGTGGATTGGGGTGGAACTTAGTTTCCAACACACATAGATTGAGTGCATCCAAACAAGGCCTAAGCTCACTAAACAGTCCTTCCTTTGCATACCCCTCTATGGTCAAGCCTACAGGCCTACAATTTTACTCCCTCCGTCCTAAATTATAAGACGTTTTGGCTTTTCTAGATACATTGTTTTTACTATGTATATATATCTAGACGTAATATATATCTAAGTACATAACAAAAGCTATGTATCTAGAAAAGCCAAGACATCTTATAATTTGGAATGGAGGGTGTATATGTTTATTTATCTAGATTGTTCTTACCTATTGTTCTTTTTATGTGTTTCAAAACATGGTTGGTTAGAGCTTTTTGTTCTTACATGTAGTCTATACCCTAACTAATTTCTGTTCCCACTAAGGCCTTAGGCCTAACACAACTTGCTTGGGACTAAAAAGGCTTTGTTGGTATTAGAGAGCTTAGGTCTCCGGAGGTCAAATTAACAAGCTTTTGTGTCCACAACTTATATATGATTTATGTTCTGACTTAGGCTAATTCTCATAGCACTGTTTTGATGTTATCTTCTGTTATTATTATTATTATTAATTTATTATTACTACTACTAATACTGTTTGCAAAATGATATCATCTTTTTGTTAAGTCCATATGATTCTCTCTTTTGATTGCAACTTATCAAATCTTTTCTTTTTGATATTTCAGGTCAAATATGGTGATACGCTTAAAAGGTTTTATGGTTGTGTCAATGGGAATCATTTTGACATGAATTTATCTTCTCTGCGGGCAAAGATAGCTACTGCCTTTAAGTTTGGTCCTCATGCTGATTTTGTTCTGACTTACACCGATGAGGATGGTGATATTGTCATGCTAGATGATGACGATGACTTGTGTGATGCAGCTCTGCGTCAGAAATTAAACCCTCTGAGGATTACTGTTCAACTGAAAAAAAATCAACCAACTGAAAAAAAAGATGCCTCTGCACCTGTGAAACCCACTGCTCAGGATCCACTATCCCAGATAATGTCAGCTATTGAAGGTTTGAAGCCTGTTCAGGAAGATGGTCTGGCTCATATAAAATCAGCTATTGGTGAAGCAATCAAGTCTATCCCAGAGCCAATACCTGATGCCCTTGCTAAACTCTCTCATGAAATACTTGATGCAGCACCACCACCATTAGCTGAGCTGATGAAACCTTTTGCACAATTGATGGCACCAAACAGTAATGGCAATGGGCCATCTCATGTGCATGCTGAGGGGTCATCTAGCTCTTCCAGTGGTGTGACACAGACACAGGCGCCGGCCCCGGCCCCAGCTGAAGCTAAAAATGAGCCCAAAGTTAAGCCAAGTTTGGGTCTTAGGGCTGTGTTAAAAGAGGCTGCTGCACCTGTTCCTAATGCTGGAGCTCCTCAAGTTCAACAGCCATCCATGTACCCATCTGTTGAGGAGTTGCTGTTCCCCTGTAATTCAGTTGACAAATCTGTTTGCAAAGGGAAGACTGATGCTCAAAATAAGGGCAAAACTGTTATGTCCTCAGTCACCCAACCTGCCCCTTACTCTCTTCCTACTCATGCATTTCAGAATGGTCCCGACCACGAAGAAGCCAACAACACCCATGGCAATATGAAGACAATGCAAAAGCCACTAGTGATTCTAGATGGCGCATTCCAATGTACAAAATGCCCTATGCACCACCACCTCCAGCAGTGCCACCCCCGGGCTATGGACCTTCTCCACATTTTCCTTATCCAGGCCGCCTCTTGTCTTCTGGACATCCATACGGAGATCTTGCGGGTAACATGGAAAACTCAGCAGCACGTAGTCTGCATAGATGGATTCAGTGTGATGGCTGTGGAGTGCAACCAATTGTTGGTCCACGTTATAAATCTAATGTGTAAGGCCCTGAATAAGTTTCTACTTTAATATTTTGTTGGTTGTATTTGATGATGTTAGCTCTGACATTTTCCTTATTTGCCCTACAGGAAGGAAGACTATGATTTATGTGATTCCTGTTTCCAACGCATGGGAAATGAAATGGAGTACACCAAAATAGACAAACCTATTTTACCCCACAGGTTTCTCAGAGATCCTCATGCGGTGGGTACCTCATCTTGTTCTTCATGGAATAAACTCTTTTTGTATGAAAGTTCCTTGTCAGAATAACTGATTTGAATTTTTTTTTTCCTTCAAAGAACCGAAAGGTGACACACGAGTTCTAATGAAGTCAAAACGGGAGAAACTTGAAAGTCGCTTCATTTTGGATGTAACTGTCCTTGATGGAACACTGATGACACCTTCTACCCCGTTCACTAAGATTTGGCGCATGCATAACAATGGGTCTGTTGTGTGGCCACTCGGCACACAGCTTATCTGGGTTGGTGGAGATCAGTTTGCATTGCAGACATCTGTTCCATTAGAGGTAGCTCTACATATTCATTGCTTTTTACATATTTATCTGCTTGCTGTTTCGATTGCAAATTAGGCTGCAAGTTGTAGAAGAAAAAAATTCTTAGTTGGAGTTTTGTTGTTGGTGTTGTTGTTGTTGTGCAGATTCCTGTGGATGGCTTTCCTGTGGACAAAGAGATTGATGTTGCTGTTGATTTTGTGGCACCTACAAGGCCAGGGAGGTTCATATCTTACTGGAGGTTGGCTTCGCCTTCTGGTCAGAAATTTGGTCAGCGAGTTTGGGTTCATATCCAGGTTGGTACCCCACTGCTATCCAAAATATGGTTGCTTACTTTGTTAAAAAAATGGTTTACTCTTTGATAATTTTCCTTATGTCGGCTGATGTTCTGAACTGCAACTGTATCTGTAGGTGGAAGACCCTTCTTTTGTTAATGACAATAACAGGAATGCTGCTATTAACCTGAACCTGCCTCCAGAGAGCAATAGTGCAAACACAACCAATTTAATTGATGTGAACATTGAGCCTGTTGACTCAGCCCTTAGCGCACATGCCAAACGCACAAAAGAGTTCCATTTCTGTTCAACTGATGTTTCTGAGCCCAAGAAATCTCTGCCTACCACGTTGGTCGGTACCTCTTTGTCTGCACCAGCTCCTGCAAACCCAACCGGTGATGTTTCCATATCCAGTACATCTGCTGCTGCTTTTGTGCCCTCTGTTAATGTGCCTATGCCTGAAGTTGTTACTACTCATACACCATTACCTGCTATGCCTGTGCTGCCTACAAATATACCTATTTCAGCTCCAGTATCTGCTCCTGCAATTGCCCCTGTGCCTGCATCTGGTACTGTGCCTGTGCCTCCACCTGTTAGTGCGCCTCCACCTGTTAATGCTGTGGTACCTGAGCTGTCTGACCTGGATGTTCACAATGAGGAGAAGTTGCTGAGGGAGCTGGAGGAAATGGGTTTTAGGCAGATCGATCTCAACAAGGAAATCCTTAGGCAGAACAATTACAACCTGGAGCAGTCTGTTGATGACCTATGTGGCGTGAATGAATGGGATCCACTCCTTGCAGAGCTGGAAGAGATGGTAAGACATATGCCTCTGCCTTATTCTGTGTAGTTCCAGCAACTTGCTACAAGCTTCTTGAGTCGTTTGTTCTTTAGGGATTTGATGACACAGAGGTGAACAAGGAGCTGCTTGCGAAGAATGGGGGAAGCATCAAGCGAGCTGTGATGGACCTCATTGCCAGGGAGAAAAAGGACAAGTGAAGATCGTGTGCCAGTGTGCTGTGTGCACATAGCTATCTAGACCTAAGTATATATGGGTAAATAATGAGACGGCTGTGCCACTGTGGTGCAGCCCTAGTGCGTCTCAGAGTTTGCTTATGGTGAACTGTTCGTGCTATGTTTCTTTATGTATCTGTCGTGCGTGTGGTGTCGATGAACCCTAGTATGTGCGCGTGTGCGCCCCAGCAGTTACCTTGCCATGCCCCAGGTATACTGCTGCTGCTTGTATGGACTGGCTGTCGTGCCTACTCTGTCACTGAGATGTGAATCTATCTATATATGTATTATGATGCGTGGACCAATGTTTGATGCTTAATACACAATATCTATAGCTTTCAAACTTAAATTCAAAATGGGTCTTTGATATAATATCTATAGCCTCCAACACTCCTATTTGCAGAAAGGTTATCTTTTGCGTCTTGAGGCTAGAGATGACTAAAAATAAGTATTGTTTTTTTTTTTTTGTCTATAACGCTATTCAAAGGACGAATGGTCTATGGGTCGTCAAAGGACGAATGAGTTGTATTTTGGATCGTGGCTGTTAGACAGTCTAATAATGTATTATCGATTGGCCTGTTTGTTCAGTCAGCTCCTGGTAATGGTAAATCGTGTCTCTGGAGCAGTTAGCGGTTACAATAGTGATACAGCTGCACGTACGTAATCACGGATAACTGTATCCAGTACGTTCTGCTACGCAGCGATTTGGGTGATCTGCGCTGGCAGTGCGTACAAGTCTTTAACTGAGCAGCCACGAAAGAGCCATCTGGAATAACAAATCTATAAAGATCTCTAACCCTGGCGACATACCTACAGTATCGCCTTAGCTATAGTACCCTCCGGTTTCCTCCGCCTGCTCTTCCTTTCCCCCCTCTGCGAGCTCCACTGCCTGCGCCCTCCACCGACCCCGCAGGATGCCACAGCGCTCCGCCCCGCCTCCGGCCAGCTGCCCATACACCCCGCCTGCGCCCTCCCCCAGCCGCTGCGCCACGCGCGCACCAACGCCGCCAGGGCGCGCCACGTCCCCGCAACAGCGCCGGCCCGCCTTCGGCCATCTCCCTCACGGCGCCATCCTCGCGCACTCCTGCAGCAGCAACGGCCACGCCCGCCGCCCGCCAGCGCAGGGAGGCACCAAGTGTCCTCCGCCATCGCCTAGGGAGAAGGGCGGCCCGGTACAAGCGGTAGAGTCTTACCGCCTGTGACCAGAAGGTCCCGGGTTCGAGTCGCGGTCTTCTCGCATTGCATGGGCGAAGATAAGGCTTGCCATTGACACCTTTCCCCAAACCCCGCACAGAGCGGGAGCTCTCTACACTGCGTACTAATTGAGTGCCCGCTGATACGGGAGCTAAAGATGAACAATGCATACAATTAACAGATTCAAACAAAATTGTCAAAATGATAGATTATTAGATTATGTGATTAAGTTACAAAAGCTCAAGCCGTTTCTATGTACCCGAGACAGTCTATACCTGCTCCAAACTCAACATCCTGAACAAGCACCTCCCCTCTGGCCTGGTTATAGGATATTGCTGTTGTTATCGAAAGGTCCACTGTTACACCCTCATCACTTCCTCCTCTTCCTCAGCTGTGAAATCGTTCTTCGCCCTATTCGCTTGGGCTTGTTTGGCTTATAAGCCGTACTTTTTCAGCCAACGAACAGTATTTTTCTCTCACACCAAATCAGCCAACAGTATTTTCATGGCTTATCAGCCAAACAAGCTCAAACGAACAGGGCGCTTGATGTTGAACTTTTCGCGGTTGTCCTTTGGAGTCTTCCTCTTCGTCATGTCCGTGACGCTCAGGCAGGTCAGGTTCAGCAGGCCCCTTGATGTCCAGGTAATTTGCAGCCTGCGGAGACCAATTACATGTTAAGTATTTTTGTCTCATGAATGTGACAGTCATGCAAACTATTCAGTGACTTTATGATCAATGACGGTACACAATACAGTCGTACAATGTATTTATTTCTTTTGACACTACAAATGGCAAAATTACAAACCAATATCAATTCTGTAAAGAAAGTATTATCACTAATCGTTGACCATTACCAAGCATCCAAGTCTTTGACCCCACCAAGCATGGCAGAACCATAAAACTGCAATGGTTGTAGCGCTGGGAGAAGGATTCGGTAATTATTGATTACCGATTCCTTCTTGTAAAACTATTCTCCTTCGTCTTAATGAAACACGTGTCAGAGACACGTCCGCGAAAAAAAAGAACCATAAAACTGCTCCAGCTTATCCTAAATCATCAGCCAAACCTTTCGGAATAATTTCAAATATCTATGGATCCAAGTACAACATTGATCATGAGTAGAAAGGTATAAACCACTCCTAATAATTACCAAGTGTACAATTTCAAATGCCTCATTTTTTCTGGTTATGCTAGAGCAACTTAATTGACACAACCTTAGTATATATATAAGAGCAAACTTTACGTAAGGGTAATTTTTTGACTCATACTATCAAAGAAGACATACCAACCATGCACATCTTATCACCCTAAAGCAATTTGCCACATCCTACAACTTCATCTTCTGTTTGCCAGAGCAAGGCTGAGGTCCCATAGTTGTGGTCTCCAGTATCCTCCAGAGTTCACTACATCAGCTCCCTTTCTTGCAGTCTGGCCAAATGGAGGATGACACGTAACCAAAAGACAAAATGAATTGAAATAAATTGTCTGGATGGACAAGCATCGCAGCTTCTTGATAAAGATCAATAATAGCATAAATAAAATATGAAGAAAATCTGGAGCTTCATGTTGTGATAACAGAGACAAGTAGTTTTAAAATTAAAAACCAAACTCCTCTTAAACCTTGTCCTTCCCTCCTCCCTCCCTCCACTTCAAGATTAAGATCAATACAAATGGAAGCGTTTAGCTAAAATAATTAATTTAAGATAAGTAGAGAGGTGATATACCTTTTCCAAACACCTTGGTTCACAATTAAATTGATCAGAAACTTCTTCTCAATTCAAAAGACAAACTGAAGAACAATGTTTCTTCTTTGGAAATGAGTATGGAAAAAGGAAATCATATCTTTCCAATTTTGATGTAATATGGGGGTTGATGGAGTTAGGTTGCGGATGCTGCAGCAATAGCTGCTGTTTCAGAGCTGGTTGCACAGGAGCAGAAGGTGCAACCTTAAGTTCCTCCAGAAGTCCCTACACAAGGTATACAAATAAAATATAATCTTTTAGAAAACTGGCAGACTCAGAATGCATATAGCAGACCTAAAGGCTGTGATGGTTGAGGCGCTTAACAGCGAGGACGACCTTGAGCCGGTGGAGCAGAAGGCACGGTAAACGGAGCCGAAGCCGCCCTTGCGGACCTTGAGCATGCAGCTGAAGCCGTTGGTGGCTTTGACGAGCTCGTCGAGATCAAACATTCACAAGGGCTGTGCTCCCCGCTCCTCCGACAGCTCCTGGATGCTCCGTGTGGGCAATTTCTATCATTGCAGAATCCCTGTACTTCTTCATGCCCCTGATGATCTTGATAGACACCATTTCTTCCTATTCCGTATCCCAACACTCCAACACCTGACCAAAGCTAGACACATTCAGTTATGAATATAAGCAGGATGAGCAGATTAGTAACTACAAAAGGTATAATAAATAATGGCAAAGCAGTATGATTATACATATTATAATCCTCGCAACACCATGCAAATAATCAATAGGCCCCTTGTTGAATGAGATTTTACATTTACCAGACTCCTGAGAGAAGCAGCCATGACCAACATTAGTTTCAAGCACAAAACAGTGATAATATTCACACTGCCTGCAGTGGTGCCCTCACTACTATTCCTACGACTAAGCACATCAGTGGTGCATGATTTGACCTGTACAAGATAATAATTTCAATATTGTTTCGACATTGATTTGACCTGTACAAAATAATAATTTCAATATTGTTTCGACTTAGAATGTAGGATCACCAAGAACGAAGAATCCCAAGAATCAATTATATGTTTAAAGAAGTGGATATGAAAAGGTAAATATCCAAACCAGCTGATAACCACTGGATATTGCCGTATTGGAGATGATCTAGAGTGACACTTTCTAAAAGCATTTTCACAAACAGGTGGTGAGCATGAGATATTGCCATTCATAGATTCAAACAAAGTGAACCAGATTAAGAGCGGACCGGAACTGTATGTAGTTGCTGACCTACGCATGAGCCAGGGCAGGAGGAGCCCGAGCGAGATGGGGAAGCAGAGCTGAGTCGGTGTCAGGGAGGGCATGGGCGGTTTGGCCTCCACGGGCTGCTGGCGCCGCGGCGGGGCGGCGGATCTGAGGCGAGCGCGACGCGGCGGGGTGGCCATGTGGACGTGTGGTCACCGCTCCACGAGTACCAAAACCTGGCGGCGAAGGGCGAGGAGCGGAGGCCGGGTCCGTGTGCAAGGGCGGGGCGGAGCTATTGCAGCGGGGTGGGCGGAGCCAGGGCGGCTCGTCGTCGTCCTCATCCACCTCCGCCTCCGCCTACGCAATCTTCATGGACACGAGCTCTCAGCTCGTCCTCCCACCATCGGAAGGGCGCACCTCCATGGGTGGCAGTTCCTCGGCGGCGAAATTAAACGGACAACTGGAGCAGGGCGGTGTGGGCGCGGCCGAATCCATGTGCAAAGACGGGGCTGAGCTATTGCGGCAGGGACGGCCGTGGGCGTGGCCGCGGGCGGAGTAGCCGGCGTTGGTTTCTCGATCTATTTTTTTTCTGCGGAGGAGGGGCAGGCGACGGGAGAGAGAGCCCGGTAGAAAGTGGTGCGGATGTCCAATTAGTGCGGGTGGACTTAGGGAAAACCGTCGAAGGCTGCACACGAAGAGAGGGATTAGCGCGGAGGGGGATGATTAGTTTAGCGCTGACAATGACCTCCGGGTCTTTTTAGTTGCAGAGATAGAGATTTTCTCAATTTTTTCATATGATATATTGATATGCACATGAAAATTCATTTGCAGGGCCACTCCCTCTCGCTAATAGGGTCTATCTCCTCCTCCTACATCATGTGATAGGCACGCCATGTGAGCCAACCTTCTTCCTTGCTAAGCGCTCATGATAAATACTGATAGATGATTCAAGGTATTTGGCAATTTCCTCAACAGTGTCGATGGTGGTGCTGAATTTTGCAGTTCTCTCAATCTTCAGGTCCTCATCATGTAGTTCAGTTTTGGATTTTCTATTACAGAGCAGTAAATATTTGTTGTCAAACACATGCTCAGTATATTACTGAATGCCTGCCTATTGTTTGTCAAATTTGCACAATATTTCAGAGGCGTGCAAGCTTAACGTAATGATGCCATGTGCTAATTTCATGTGATGTTGTGCAGACCTAACTTTAGGTTCTCCTGATGATAGCATCAATTGCATTGATAACGTTTCATTCCATCTCACCCTTCTACTTCTCCGACATGTATTTTATGTTTCCCTGTTTAAAAGACTATTGTGCTCTTTTTCCTCCATGCAAGCATGGTTATGCCAACCTTCAGCTTGCCAATGTATAGCAGTTCAATCGGCCATTTCCGTGCTCCTTCTGCTTCAGGCCAGCGTCCTCTGTACTGTTCTATGGCACATGACATCGGTCTATGCATGGATGCTGTAGAATATTCTGACATCAGTGTGTAATATCATGACTGACTTTGCATAGCGATTAGGTCTCTTCTGAAGAAGAGACTCAGAAATAGGTAGGTTACGGCCCATAGGCGGTGCTGCAAACAGAGGACGAACCCACAGGGCTACCTGCGTGGCTGCGTCGGCGGGCCGCCCATGGCAACCTGACGGGACCAAAGGCGGAGGGAAAGGTGCTGACCAATCTAATCTGCCAATGTTTCAGATTGTGCTACTTTATTGATTTTGATTTTTTTATAGCACTGCAACGGATTGCCGCCAGGACGATTGCTCAACTGTATGTAACCACCTCGACCAGCTTTACAACAACAACAATATAGCCTTTCAGTCCCAAATAAATTGGGGTAGTCTAGAGTTAAAACCCACCAGATATACCAAATTGTTTTCGTTCCCATTCTTCCTTTTCTTCACTTCTCTCCTTTGACCTTTGGTATGTATTGTTGGGTTACCAGGAATACTCATATGCTACACCGGCGTCGCCCCCCTCCAGTCTGAAGCCCTCAACAGGAGGTTTGCTCTGCGTTTTCTCTTTTTATTTTCTCTTTTCCTTTTTTTTTGCAAATGGTATGCAGATGTCAATCCAATTATATGTGCTTACATGTGAATAGCAATTATAGTCTTCTAAATTTTGGCCATTCCAAAATTTATGTGCTTGCCTCCTGTTTGATAAAGAAATTGCATGTACTTGGTTGGGCGACATTATATTATCCTGCTGTTCTTGCCTTTTTGTCTCATTATTGATTTCTGAGCATGGAAAATCTAGATGGCAAATTGGGATGACACATCTAATTCGTTGAGTCTTTTGTGTTATTCATGACAGTTATCTGAATCAAATTTGATCTTAACCGTAAGCAGGAAAGGAATGTGAGAAAAGTCATTCTTTATCTCTGATGCTATTTTGGTGAGGACAACCTACCACACTTCATATCTCTTAAAAGTTTGCAAGCTAGTACGATGTAAGCCTTATTACTCTTGCCTTTTTGTCTCATTATTGATTTGTGAGCATGGAAAATCTAGATGGGAAATTAGGATGACACATTTACTTCCTTTATTTAGTAAAATCGACGCATTTGTGCTCAGCAGGTGCGAAGGAAAAATGTTTTGTTCATTTGGTTCAGAAGGCGTGCTTCTCTACAAATGCCTGCCATTGACAATGCACGATAGTACCATATAGTCAGTAATTTAGCTTTTCTCTTTTAGTTCCCCATGCCATTATTCTACAGATTTGCTGCAACACAGTGCCAAACCCAGTGCGTTGCCAGCAAATGTTTCTCTAAAATGTAAAATTCATGGTTTGTTGCAGCTGCTGAATTAAATTTTGAAAATGCTATTTGTTGCCACAAAAATGCAACTACCCTTCCCCTACATTGTGTACATGCACTCAAACATGGCTCCCTTTTGGGAATAACTGCCACAGAAGTAATATCATGAGATGAGATTGTAAATGCGCTGCTGTTGCCTTTATTGATGCTTCCATTCGAAGTTATGCCGCAAAACATATCATCGGGAAATAATTCATCATTACATCATATTGGGGTCAATTATCTGAATCTCAGGTTACATTCAGTCCATCTTATGAAGTATGCCAAAATTTACAGTGTGCCTCTCCATCTCCAGTTTAATTAATTTGGAAATTTCCTTCATTAGTTTGGATAGGATTCTTCTATTTTTTAAGTACTTCCTTTTCTTTTCCTGAACATCATGTAGCCCGGCCATACACTGGGACAATAATAAGAAGAAGGTGCTACTACAGCTGGGAACACTTATGTTTTAGAGCAAATCGTTTTGATTTATTTTGCCGATTCGCCAATATTCTTGCACTGCCACTTTGCACTTCTTTGTCAGATAATGACACTACATCTGAATATCTATCCACAATGCCTATGGACTCTGTTATGAGTTCAGTGATTTGCACCATATCCACAGTGCCTACGGACTCACATTGGTCCAGCCGAAGATGAAATTGGATCAATCAATGCTCAGTTAGGCAAATTCCAGGCTAATATTTCTTTGAGCCACTACAATAATCAGCGAGTAATATGTTTGTTCTAATCCAACAAAACGATTCAGCAGGTATGCATCATAATATCTGTTATTTCCTCTCAAAGATTAAACAAGTACGCCTGCATATTACCTCTCTGACTCTAGCTGTTCTATGATATTTTCACTAGGGCCTCAGTCTATTGGGTTCTATAGGACTACCAGGAATACCTCATCCTACAAGATCACAGGTACTATTTTTTGACGTGCCTTGCAAATGTTGAAATCGCTTCTTCTCAGTTTCCAAACGTGGGAATGTTTTGAAACCTCCAACCACGTCATCACAGTTCTAACCCACATAAATTTCGTTAACTAAAAGCTAGAGTAATTTCCGGTGTCCAAATGGAGCTACACTCCTGTATTAGACGCCATCATCATAGTAAAGGCCGCATATGTTTTGTGCCTTCTAAATACAGCTCCATTGCCTCCATGAGCCATCGACTTGCACCGACCTTTTGTTATCAATTAATAATCCCCATCCCACCCCCACCCCCAAAAACCTTTTACCAATAGAATGCTCTATTTGTTACCCTCCTCCACTTTTAACATCAGGTTTTAAACCTGCTTTTCCATATGTACGCAGGGATCAATTGCTTGGAGTGGAGACTGCAGCAAATTTTTTTTTTCACCACATATGCAGGCTTAGTACCATCAACAATTGTCCATCGCAACACAGATTCTTATTACTTTTGCAGTCCTGAGTATGGCCCTATTTGTAAACTTCTTATATACTGTTAAATTTGATGTTTCTTTTGGTCTTCAAGTGCTACATAATTTACCGTTTCCTGCCAAGACAACCAAATGCTATGTTTGCATCGTAACTGACTCAAATCGTTGCATAACGTATACATTGTCAGCTTGCTGCCCGCACGTAGGAGTGCTATGAAAGTATAATTCACAAGATCCAGTTCAACTAAATGCATAATAAACCGATAAAGTAGATACAATTTCCAGAGAGAAATATAAGCAATGAAATTTGAAAAGCAATCACTTAAACCGATAAAGTAGTTACAATTTGATCAAGTAGTTACAATTTCGAGAGAGAAATAAGGAATTAAATTTGAAAAGCGATCAAATGAGAATGAGGTCTGATCATCCTGATTCCTGCGTCGTACTCGCCTTGGGTCTTGGGCAAGGTCGGCCGATGGTGGTGCCACAGCTCACCTTCAGAACTGCTGCTGTAGGAACTCGTCCTCCTCGTCCACCTTGTCCTGCCCGACAACCTTCACCGCCCAGGTGCTCAGCGAAGATACGCTCCGCGTCAGCCACTCCCTGGGCGTGGACACCCTAGGGCTCTCCGCCACGGCGGCTGCGCTCGCGCGCCGCTGCTCCTCCTCGGCGACGGCCTCGGCCCACCGCCTCGCCATGTACTCGTTCACCGCGACGACGCCGTCGGCGACCACCTCGGGGGGCGGCACGGCGAGCGGGTTCTGGTCCAGGCGGAGTCTCTCCAGCTTGCCGAGCCGGCCGAAGCAGTCCGGCAGCGCACGGATCTGGTTGTTGCTCAGGTCCAGCTCGCGCAGGCCCGCTAGGTCGCCGAACGATGGCGGCAGGTCCCGCATGTCGCTGAAGTTGCTGCTCAGGTCCAGCGTCTCCAGCGCGGACAGCTGGCCGATGGCGGCCGGTAGGCCGTGGAGCTCGTTGAAGTGCGCGTCCAGGAGGCGCAGCGATCGCATCTCGCAGACCGACGACGGCAAGGAGCGCAGCTTGTTGAGGTGCACGCGCAGCGTCTGCAGGTGCACCAGCTCGTGCCCGATGCCTGTCGGGAGGTACGCCAGGGCGTTGTAGCTCGCGTCCAGCTCCACCAGGGATCTGAAGCGCCGAATGGCACATCTATCACAACGACCGTTTCTTTCTGGAACAAGAAGAAATGAAATGGTTGGTTGGCTGTTTACCTGCATTTCGAGATGGTGTCGGGCAGAACCCTCAGCCTGTTGCCGGAAACATCGAGGATCTTGAGGTTGGATAGAAGGCCAATGGAGTCTGGGAGAGAAACCAAGTCGTTGGAAGCGAGACGGAGCTCTTCCAGGTGTTCGAGCCCACCAATAGCATCGGGAACGTCCTGCGAATTCAAGGAACAACACTGATGAAGGCGCGAAATAGGGAATTAGCCCGTGAACTGCAACATGTGTAGTTTAGATAGATCCGTTTGAACGCGAGAATTTTACAGAAACCGTACGGAATTTCATGCGAATCGGTTTAGGAATTTCATAAAATCAGTTTAATTCCACAGAAACATGAATTTCGTGCAATGTGCAAGAGATAATGCATTTCGATCACTACAATATTGTACTGTCTCCATTCGACCAATGTCAATAATTCATTCAGAAAATTCGTGAGCATCAATGCACGGTGTAGGCATACGACGCGAACGCAGGTACGAGTCCCTAACCTTCAGCTGGTTGCGGGAGACGTCGAGCGCGAGGAGGCTGCGGATCCGGCCGACGGGCTCTGGCAGTAGGCGCAGCTGCCGGTCGGCGAGGTTCACCCGCTCCACCACCTTCCCTTCCTCCGCGTCCTTGAGCACCCGCACCACCTCCTCATCGACCGCCCCGGACCCCTCTTCCCCTTTGGCATCACCGCCGCCCGCCTCCTTGATGTCCCTCCCGTGCATCGCCATCCGGTACACGTGCTCCAGCTTCTCCTCCGCGTCCCGCAGCAGGGCGCCGTACGCCTCGTGCTCCTCGTCCAGCCGCACCACCTCCCTGCTCGCGGCCAGCTTCTCCTCGTCGAGCTCCTTCGCCTTATCCTCCGCGTCGGCGTCCGCCTTGTCCCCGGCGTCGGCGAGGAGGAGGAGCTCGCGGGAGGCGTCGACTTGCTCGTGGTCGGGCCGGGGCCCCAGGAGGTTGATCGCGTCGCGCGCCGAGGCGACGTCGGCGACGGCGCGGGTCATGGCGGAGAGCACGGACGGGTGGCGCAGGCCCGGCATGCGCCCCACCAGGTCGATCTCCGCGGCGCCCGACGGCGTGCGCGGGGACGGTTGCTCGAGGTCCCGCTCGCGCGGGGACCGCGGCGTCCTCACCGCGGGCAGCGAGGGGAGGCGGGAGAGCACGTAGTTGAGGATCGGGTGTGACTGCGGCGTCGGATCCATGGCGGCGGCGGCGACGACGACGATGGTCGTTCCCGTTGGCCGGATCGGTGGCGCGCGAACGGAACGGAGGAGACGAGAAGAAGAGGGAGTTGTAGGATTCGGGATCGGGACCGGAAAACCGGGAAATTTTATCCGAGGTTTGGAGTGAACGGCCGCGTGTTCCGGAGGCCGGACTCGAGGATTGGCAGCTACGATGGGCCGTATGGTCCATTTGCACGACTCGGCAACGGGCGGCGGCGCACCGAGACGAGAGCCCATTTCAGCCCAGCAAGATAAGGCCCTGTTTAGAGCGGTTTCAGGAGCCGTTTGGAGCCGTTTTCTATCAAACGGGTAAAATGAAACGGCTCCACCGATGAAGCCCCTAAAAATGTGCTCTCACAGAGCTTTGGGGTGGGAAGGAGCCAAAAATAGTGGCTTCTCCCGGCTCCTCCTCCAGACCCCTAAAAACATGCTCTTACAGGGAAGCCATTTTGCCAAATTGAAGCAAAAAAAAAATGGCTTCACTAGTGAAGTGAAGCCCTGCTAAACGAGGTCTTAGTTCACCCCAAATCCAAACTTTGACACTATATAAAAAGAAGATTCCCCGTCACATCAAACTTACGGTACATGCATGGAGTACTAAATATTGACGAAATCAAAAACTAATTGCACAGTTTGGTTGTACTTTGCGAGACGAACGTTTTGAGCCTAATTAGTCATCGTTTAAACAATTATTACCAAAGGCAAACGAAATGCTACAGTGGGTACTGTAGCTACAGTATCTAAGCCGGCGCCGATTTCGGCCGCAACTAAACGAGGCCTAAGAAGGGCTTCTCGTAAGTAGATTATGATTAGACTTGCCTTTTATTAATTGCACTCGTCAGTTGAGGGCTTCCGCAACAGCCGCTCCAGGTCCCCTCCCCCAAACTGAAACGAAGTTGCGGCGGCCGCAACTGAGAGCAGAGATGCTGCAGTTCCCGGCGCTGATGCGGCAGTGGCCGTCGCCGCCGCTGATCCCGGCGTCCACGCTGCTCCCCGTGCCGGCCACCTCCCAGGAGGACGAGCTCCTCCTCGCCATGGCCGAGTCCGACCTTGAGGACAAGGTGCTGTGGTTCTCTCTATTCCCTTGCCCCTTCTCCAACGCTCCCGATGCCGATGGGGTGACTGACGCTTCCCTTTGTTTCTCCCTTTGCTCGCTGCTCAGCTGAACGAGATCCGGAAGACCAACAGCCACCTGGCTATCATTGGGAAGCCCTCGGGCGATACCAAGGAGGAGTACGACGATGAGGTGGAGGACGACAATGCAAACAACGTCGAGGAGTCCGACGGCGACGACTTCGACCAGGAGACCGGTTGACCCACGCTGCCCAGTCTGTATTTCGCAATCAGTCGCTCCTGCTATCTAGATGTGCTGCCTGTGTTATTACCCTATTCTGCTGATGTCTGTTCTCAGGATTTGAGCATGTCCTTGACATGTGGACCTTGTGTATGAAATTACCAGATGATTAATCGGTCCAATTTAAATGCTATACTAGTTTCCTCTATCTGTGCCAGAATCCAGATACTGCTACTTGCCATTTTATTGTTTGTGCCAAGACCAATAAGTCCTTGTCAAGTTTCTTACATTGTTCTATATCTTTTCTGGTCGAAACTTCCTATATGAAAATCTGGAAGCACAAGATTTTGGTTTGCTTAACAGAAAAGAAACATCAATGAGCGAAAATGGAGCTATTAGTAATATCGACTTGACATAGTAACACACGGGTATTGTCATAGTCAGGTGTCATTAACCTGGACATTCACATCGAGGATTCCTTAAAAAAATACAATGTGGACTATACGAGTGTCCTCTTAGCAGTTGAACTATAAAGTGTCTGTTGCCGTGTGTTGCTGGATGTGCCCATTAATTTTCATTGATTGCCTGTTGAATTTCTATACAACACCAACACCAACAAAGCCTTTTAAGCCTGTTGAATTTCTATACTTGACCAAAAAAATGCTTTCATTTTGAGTTCTCTACTTTAATAAGGCCAGTTTCTCTACTGTGTTATTTGGTATGCGTACTTTGAAGCTATGAATATCAAACACATTGTGTCTTGTCTTCCCCATTCTCCTTTTTCTGAACCTCTGTACATAAAATTTTCATCAAGATTTGATGATCCAAAGCCCATTACTTATCAATGGACATTATTACAGGCTGTACAACACAGTATGGCATAGTTATAATAATTACTGCAAACTGTTATTTGCTTGTTTAGTATAATAAGTTAATCTTATCGTCCACCTATAATTTTTTATTCTTGTCAATCTTAAACTTGGTTTTATCATAGAATTTCATACAGAGGAAAGAGCACTTATTCTAGGACTAGGATGATCGGCAATGAACAAAGTCATGTGATATGATTACAATTTACAAGAAGAAATTTGACCAACCATTACATCTATATGTATAATAACTCTACAAGAAGTTACAGTATTCGACCTTGTGACAGACATACAATGTAGTATAAAAAGTTGAAAAAATCTGGAGTCTGTACCATGATTATTTGCTGGGAAACATTTTTCCTAATTGTCCTCAGTTGCCAAGAAAATGATTATTTGATCTTGGAAAATCTTGTAAATTTCTGATTGAACTTGTGGAATCACTTTATCTCTTAACTTTTGCAAAGAAAAACCTTTTGCACAGATCAAAATTTGTGAAGTGACAATGGGCTGTACCACTTAAAAGCAGCTCTTGTCTTTTACAATCCACTCACACGAAGTATGCCAGAATTTTGGTCAAGATCAATGTGTAGAAGATAGATAGGACAGCACCAACTGGAATTGTGACCAACCAGGACGCCACAATTTCACGAACTGTCTCTGCTCTGACTCTATTGAGCCCTCTTGCAAATCCGACACCCATCACCGCTCCAACAAGTGTATGCGTGGCAGATATAGGCAACCCAAGCTTTGATGCGAACAAGACAACTGAAGCTGCTGCAAACTCTGCAGCAAAGCCCCTAGTAGGTGTTAGTTCTGTGATTTTCTTGCCAATTGTTGCTATCACCCTATATCCCCACATTGTAAGCCCTGCAACAATTCCAAAACCACCCCAAGCAAGAACTTCAGTAGGTATGACTATCTCAGCACTGCTTGCCACACCTTGAAGAATGGACAAAGCTGCAGCCAGGGGCCCTATGGCATTGGAGACGTCATTTCCTCCGTGAGCGAATGACATGAAGCATGCCGATAAGACTTGCATGTAACCAAATACTCCATACACAATCTGCAACTGAGCTCCTGTAGGGCCAGCAATGTCCGAAAGAAGTCCAGCCTGCTGAACATTTGACTTCTCAGCAGATGCTATCTTTTCTGCTTCTGAAGACAATAAGTCACCTAGCTGTTTTTGGATCACTCGGGAAACAATGATGGCTCCTATTGCCCCACTGGACACTGCTTGCAGGATGGCAATGGAAAGCACCTTACTGAGAGGAAAAGCAGCAAACGAGATTGCAGTGACACCAGCAAAGACTGCGATTGGTGCAGCAGCAGCTGCAGCCTGGCCTGGATTTGGTGCGCTGTATACAAACTAAGTGAAAACAGGTCAGTTCAAAAGTAACCTTTGCGCCTCGTCACAAAAAGTATTTTTATGATATGTACTTATGACATTTTGGTTAAATAATCATTTTTGTAGAAGTATTGAAATGCAACTGTCTTTTTTTTGTGTCACTTAGCTTATAAAGGGAGGCTACTCTAGAACTTACCCTGCGAATGCACTTGTAAACAACAAAAGAGACTGCTGCACCCATCAAAGGAGAAATGACCCAAGATGAAGATACTCTAGCCAAAGAACTCCAGAAAACTGCATTCACCCCTCCATGCACCAGCCCAAAACCAACCATGGCCCCAACGATACAATGTGTAGTTGAGACAGGCCAGCCATATGACGAAGCAACCTAAGAAATAGCACAGGTTAATACATGTAGCATTAGATGCTTCTTATTCTTTATAAATGTTAGTGCCCCTGTATTCTCAGGACTATAAAAAACAAAACATTGGCAGAGGCATTACATATGTTGATGATTAAAAAGCTATTTTGGAAGCTGCTGTTCGTGTTTATTTTGGATTCTCACCCATACATGTGAATCATAACTTCATTGCTTACATAGATATTAGATGTTAACACAGTTGATGACACACTAAAACTGTGTTAATTGTGCTCATTCTACTTATTACATACTTGAGATGCAAGATTCTTCAAATATGTTCCTTGCTGCTATGTTGGCAACTGTTGTCCAATGAAACGCATACTCTTAAGGTGCAGTTTGCAATAATGATCACATATAACTAAACCAATCTCAACATGGGCATATCAGATTTTTCACATCGCGAAGCCTAAAACCATGATGTAGGTAGATGGTTACATTTGTTAAGTTGCTGGTTCCTTTCCCTTTGCAGAGTTGTTATTAAAGATGCAGTTAGCCGCTATGATTTGTTTGGAAACATTAACTAGCTTCTATGAGTGTAAAGATTATGACTTTCCATGTTAGATTAATCAATCAGTTCTGGTGCCATGATCATGTCACTGATAGTAAATCCGAATTCCTAAACCTTCTGTATTGTAGGCTGAAGAAACTGGGTGAAGTCTCAGTAATTCTGTGATCCTCATGTCTACTAGAAAACTGCATGATCTAATTGGCGTGGTGTAGCAAAGCTGCAGAACTCAAAAGGGCGATGGAACATACCTGCAGCCATGTACCGGCAGCAGCGAGGGAGGATATCAGTCCAGCGAAGAGCAGAGAGTCCTTTCCTTGGAAGGCAGATGCAACCAGTATTCCCTTCTGCATGGTGCTGGTGACATGGGTCCCCATAAGGAATGCACCGGAGAACTCTAGCACTGCTGCAGTCACCACCGCCTGCCGGAGTGTCAAAGCTCCGGACCCAACTGACGTCCCCATGGCATTTGCAACATCATTCGCCCCAATATTCCATGCCATATAGAACCCTGACAGAAGCGTAAAGTATGCCAGTGCGTTCATTTTGAAGGTCCCATGGCAGACCAGTGAGCGCATCGCCAGCGGTACGGTGAGGGCAGCGAATGCAATCATCACAGAGATCGACATCGCCATCCGTGGTGAGATATGGAACGCCTTCGCCATCTCTGACATCTCGCATTCCCCGATCTGCTCCTCCCCAGCCTTCGTGTCGCTGGCTTTCGCACTGGAGCCATCTTCGGCATCGGCAAAGGAGGACAGTGTGGCGCAGGGGAGGCTGAGGTGTGATTGCAGCGTCTTGGCAGGTGTCACTTTGGATGAAGAGAAACACCTTAGGCCATGAATGCTATGTGGCAGCTGAACAATGGGGCGATGGAGCAGGAGAGCGGCTGCCGCAGCTCGCCCTCCTGCTCCAGCGTGCACTCGGCCGATGGAGAAGAAAGGAGAAGATTGAGACATGGGAGTTGCAGGAGGAAAAGAGAGGGTCGGTGAGCAGGGAGGCAGCAAAGATGAAAGAGATGAGATTTAGAGGGAGGAGAGGAGGAAGGAGAAGGGGACTGACTATGGGAAGAAGTGAGCACCGTTTTGTGGATGGAGGGAAGAGTTGGTAGTATCTGGTGTGGTGACGGCAGCTCATGCTGAGGTGAACAGTTGGTGGCTGCAAATGAGTGGTGGAAGGGGATGTGGGCAAGATTCCTGCCTAATCCATAACCTGTGTTGCAGCTGACCGCCTTACTGTTTTCGGTTGCATGATCGTCTTGGCCTCACCTTCCGTCCAGCCAGTTTTCAAAGATCTAGTTCTGTGTCTGTTTCTGTAGTTGGTCTCTGTTTAGCATGTCACTGGCATCTTAGGGCTGTTGAGAATTCATGGATTCTGAAATATTTGTCCTGTTCCTTGTGGGGTTTCATATGTAGTGTAGTGCTATATATCCACTGTGCACATTAAGCAAATTGAACCAGCACCATGTCAAGTCTTCTTATTTGCACTAAGTTTACTGTTCTCGGTTCATGTGATAGACAAATGGTATGCGGTTCATATGGTTACTGTTGTCCTAATACAGTGTCTATATTATCGCTGCATCTCCGTGGCCACAAATATTTACCAGCGCCGCTGGACAAGCTGTGCCGTGAATATTCATGGGCATGTTTCCTCACGTAGGATGTTTGCTTCATTGCTTTAACTAAATATGTGAACCAAATGGTTTGTGCCTTTGTGGTCCAAGAATAAAGGTATGTGATCTCTCATTGGACATCTTTATGTGCTTGTCATTGAGATACAAAGGTTTTCTCCGTTGTCAATATGCAAATGGAGTGCTGCTGAGTGCTGGCCCAGGACCACGGAAAACGGATGAGCAACTTGTGCCGCAACAAGCCGCTAAGAATCTGCGGGCTCTTTGTTGTCCGCGGGTCAGGTGTGGAATCCTTGTGCTTGTCTTATCCTATCCTACGGCTTCGAGAATCCAGTTTTTTTTTTTTTTTTTTTTTTTTTTTTTTTTGAGAAAGAGAAGAAGGTAGATTCTTATTAAGTCATAATGCTTTGAGGTACATGTAGAATTTCTGGACGCCCAAGGAGCCATACATATCTCCTTGGTGCCAATTTACAAACACTTTTAGGAAGAACTTGGGCCTCACAATATGATTCTCTAACTTCGTGCTTAAAAACTTCCTGAAAGAGAGGGCCCCTGGCTTTAATTTCCTTCAAGATTGAGGAACATAAACACACAAATTTTGCTTCTGAGATTCATAATCACTTCCAAGCTATCTGAAGTTATTACGCACTTGAGCACACCCATGTCCATGGCTAAGGAAATTGCTTCATTACAAGCCAGAGCTTACAAAGATGACGGATCAATTAAACCATCAGTGACCATAGCACTTGCGACAACATAATTCCCTGCACTATCGTGACACACCACACCAATAGTCCCCTTAGCTTCGAGAATCCAGATGGTTAAGGGCTCAGGGATAGCCCATTCCTGGGCTTAGGCCCAAATCTATGCTTTCAGGCTATGCGCAGGGCCTTTTACGGTTCCTCCAGGGGATTACCCAATGGAGAGAATTCTTTTCTGCTCCTGTCTTTTGTCAGTGCAAAAAGTTACGCAAATTTCCTTTAGCAATTTCCAGAGGATGGAATCCTCCGTATGTCATTTCGTATGCTTGACTATGCCGGGAGGAGGAAAAGGAATATTTGATAAACACTCGACAAGAGCATGGATCAATGATTGAAATGAGCACTAGATTTCAGCAAGACACGGCTGCATGTGCGTGATTGGTTAGATCATCTTCTGCATTCGCTGGACCGGTACAGCATTGTGCAAGGCTAGCTTCCCAATGTTCGTGTTTGCCATGAGGCATCTCATTCCCCGTCCGGCTCGGTAAAAAGGCCCGTTGAGCTGGTTTGATGGCTCATTTCGACATTATTCTAATTGCATTTGTTTTTCTTTTGAAATCAAAATAACTGATTCTGAATGAATTTTAACTGTTGCCTCAGTTTGTTAGGGTTGACTTGTTAAGCTCGGTGTGCTTGTCGGGGCAGAGCCAAGAAATAACCATGAGGGTGGTCAAGTACTAACTGATGAATTATTGGAGGGATAAATATCAAAATTTTCTTAAATTATATGGTGGAATCTTGTGTGCGCAACTGCATAAGAGGAGTTCACCAAGCATAGGGGGTGCCTAGCCCACCTTAGCCTCTCCCTCGGTCCGCCCTCATGGTCGATTCAAGATCCTGAGTGTGGGCACTAGGGGTGTAAACGGTAAGGATATTTTCGTCCATCCAGCTGATACAGAGCATGTTGGATAATGAATTGGATATGTTTTTTTTATATCAAATGTTTTTTTTATATCTGATATGGATCTGGATAGTTTTTCACTGTTTTTTTTAAGAGCCCTTTTACGGTACTTGAAATTGCCTCGCATTGCCTCCCATTGCCTCTATAAAATATTAATTATCATCATAAAGGGTATGTTGGTCATTTCACGTGCATATCACTGCTCACCGCGCCCTCTCCCGATCGCGCCCAGCGCCATCGTGCACCGACTTCGCCCTACTTTCGGCATCGCCTTGATCCCGACACCGCGCAGCCGCCCGCCGGCCAGCCGCGCCGACGGCGCCCTTGGCCCGCCTTCATCGCCCTCATCGACTGCTCTTACCTAGCGACCGCTGCCTGCTCTCTCCCTCCTCTAGCCATTGAGCTTTGGAGACTCGACGACAGCTGGCCAGGCCACGCCGCTGCCCCGCCCCCATGAGGGCATGGTGGTCGCCTCCATCGCCGCCGCCTTTCGCCGAGTCCGTCCGGATTCTGCGCGCCCTCTGCTCTCTCCTCCCTCTAGCCTGGCTGGAGACTCGTCATGACAATGGCCCAGCAAGGCTGCTGCCCCCGCCCCAGCCATGAGAGGGCCGCTGTGGTCGCCTCCATCGCCCGCCCGCCGAGTCCGCCGGATTCAGCGCGCCCTCGCCGCCCTCCAGTCCGAGGCCAGCCTCGAGGTACCAACTCCCCTGTAATCCGATCACATGATGAAACCTCGAATCAATTTGGTTTGTGTTCATTCTGATTCCAAAATTGTTTTGGTGTTAATCTGCATAGTTTTCATATGCCTCTTTGTTCATGTAAAGCTTCACTAGTCATCCGCACAGACACCTCTAAATAACGCTACAATTACTGTCTTGGGCTCGTTGCAAGCTCTGTTTGAAAGGTCCCTCAGTATAGCTCTGTCCTCGGCCCTATGTATATCCTTGAAAGTGTCATATGTATGATCTACTTTCATTCAGGAATCAAAATTTTACTCTGTTCAGTGATTTACAAGCTGTGACGACTGACAACATGTGGTGATAGCATAAACCAATTTGAGATATTTATGAAGTTTGTTACAGAAGTGTTCTAAGACACTTTCATCATGCTGTAGAGATTGTCAGTTAAGGGATTTTACTAGTGATGGCCAAATCATGTCAGTGCTGTGGTGTGAAATGCTACTTTTTATAACCCCACATATCGCAATCATTCCTGAACTTGACCATCCTCTTGAGGATCTTTTCAGTATCAGACCATGAGGCCTCATCAGTCATCACTGTCCCTGGTTGATCTGCTGTACAGATTACTTGGTCCACATGATTCACATAAGCCTTTTCAAACTTTATGCACAAACAGGGTGACAGATTAAAAATAAGTGAAGCATGTGGGAGCTTGTTAATGTAATGATATATGCTAAGATAATCCATGTGATTCCAGCCATCTGTGTAGTAGGCAAGGCCTACTTGGCTAATTTTTTAGTAGATAGGCAATACTGTTGATTCAGTCCCTTGATCAAGTGTAAGCTTAAACAAAAGACTGATCTCACTTGGTTGCAAGTGAGTGAACATGTGTGTGTGACCTTGCGTGGGGCTAAAGGTGTTCTGCATAAATTAAATCGTGTCCACGTGACAACCTGTATGGTGTTTCCAACTAATTGGATTCAGCTACATGTGCCCCGTCAGACATGCTGCCATCAGGATACACTTTGATCATCTCCCACTAGCTGGTTTTGATTGGCGAGTTGGCATATTATATGAATTAATATCATACTTAAGAGCTACATGGTCCCTTCCATAGTATCTTTACCCTACAATTGGTACTATATGCAGGTCTTTTGATTGTAATTAAGTTCATTACATAGCTATGGTATGCTATTGAGTCTAGGGTTTAGGGTCAATGTGTCAATTTTCTAAACAGTGACACCTAATGATCTAGGATTATATTACTAGTGGCGAGTAGATCGTGTGGATTGAATATTCAAGAGACAATGAGAATTTGAAACTTCAAGTGCAAAGTGAATTTCAATAATGAAAACACTGTGCATCCTAATGAAAGCTTCATTTTTAGGAGGAAATGTCGGATGATGATTCTTTCTTTGGAGTACTGAGTGAAATTGTTATGAAGATGTTTGGCGGTGAGGACGGACGGATTTGAGTTTTATAACAACTACGCTTATGAGAAAGGATTTAGTGTGAGAAAGGAAATCTGCGAGTGGGACAACGACCACAATGAGAGGACCCTTCGGAAGTTTGTTTGCAATGTATGAAGGTTTCCGCGAGAGAAGGAGGTGAGGAGGAGATCAAGAAGCGGAGGCGCGGAATATCACTCGTTGTGGATGCCGTGCTCAACTTGTGATTGCACAGGATCCGAACACGAAGCGGTGGTGTGTGAAGGATTTCATCGACGAGCACAACCATCCGATGACGGAACAGACCTTGCTTGCTTTCTGCGTTCACATAGAAGAATCGGCGATGATCGAGAAGCGAAGATTGTGCGTGTTGCAAATTTACGGGATCCGCAAACACCGGATAATGGATATTATGGTTAGGCGGTACAATGGGTATGATAAGGTTGGATTTACATCAAGGGACCTTTACAATTTACGCCATCGCAACAAGGCGGAGACACTTTACGGTGGTGATGCTCGAACAATCATCGATTACATGA